CCTCCTCCTCCTCCTCCTCCTCCTCCTCCCACTAGGAGAGGGGGGTGGGGGCAGATGCGCCTAGCGCCAGTGGCCACGCACCTCAGAGTTATGTAGATATCCGGACTGCGTATGCAAGACGAGGAGGGGGAGCAGCAGGAGGAGGAGGAGGAGGAGGAGGAGGAGGAGATGGTGAGGACTATCTGCTGAACTATCCGAGAAAAAGAACTAACCCAAACAAAGGAGGACAAGGACGAGGAGGAGGAGGAGGAGGAGGAGGAGCAGGGGAAGCAGGAGGAGGGAGTGGATGGAAGAAGAGGAGCGGGAGGAGGGTGAAGAAGGAGCGGGTAGGTAGAACCAGGGCACGAAGTGGGAGCGGGTTCAGAAGGGAGCGTGACGGTGAGAGGGAGGGGGGGGCAGGGGAGGGGGAGGGAGCGAAGGTGGGGCGACGGTGCGTGCAGAAGGAGGGGAGGGCGTGGGAGGGGAGGGCGAGGCCGAGGGGACATGGGGGGGGGGGCGGGGGGAGGGCGACGGTGCCGCGGGGGCGGGCCCCTCCCCCGCGTCGCCGCCACCCTCTCCCTTCCACCTCGCCCCCCCCTTTCCCCTCGAGGCAGGGGACCCCTTCCCATCCCGGAGGGGGGAAGCCAAAGCAGGTGCAGAAAAGGAAGGCAAAGGGGGCAAGCCCAGGCGCGCTCGCGCCACATCGGGGACCTTGCCCCTCAGTCCTGACCCTTCCCGCCGCGCCAGGGCCTTGTTATGTCCGCCGGCTGGGGGGGGGGGCCCTCGAGGACCTGCCCAGATCTTCGACTCCGCGACCCTCCGCCGCGTCGGCCAGCGTCTCTTCCCAAGTCGGTGTTTGACGTTTCCAGGGCCTGGCGAGGGCCCTTGGGAGCCGAGAATTGCCAAGAGTCGTCCGCTGTGGTTGCCACGACGAGAGGAGGCGGGGGGCGTCCTCGAAGACCAAGACCTGACTAAGGGAGAGAGAAGAGGGAGCCAGACGCCACAACAGGTGGAACAGGCTCAAGGCGGAACGCATTGACCCCAAAACGCCCATTCATCGCCGATCTGGGCCTGACTGATAAGGGGTTCGCCATCGGGGGCCTGTCGCCGATCTATGGGCGATGCATCGCCGATTCCAGGTCGATGTTTCCCCCCTGAGCTGGTCCCCCCCGTACCGTTGCCCCTCAGGGAGCCTGGCCGCCTGGATCTGACTGGTTCGATCCGCGGCCCAGAGCTCCAGACCCCTTCCCTCGGGCTAGTCTTAGTCGGGCCTGTCCCGCTATAGGAGGAACATCCAAAAATAGTCAAGAACATGGTCTGGGAACGATTTTTCGATTATTTGTGTTGTGTTGTTGGGCATGTGTTGACTATTTCTTATTTGTCGTCCAAATTCCCCCCGTAGGAGCAGGACATGCCCGACCTAAGGCTAGCATTTCGCCCCCGATTCATGCTTGATGGCCCCGGGTCCAGATGGTCGGAGACCCTGGTCGAGGACCCGAGGGAGAGAGCGGCTCAAGAGGAGGGTGATGGTTGGGGCGGGGCAGCAAGGCTGGGGCCATGCCACCTCCCGAGATGCCCTCTCGGTACGTGCCCTGGCCCCCCCCCCCCCCCCCCTGGGCCGCGCACATGCCCGCGGCCACGCTCTGCGCCCCACCCTGCCTCTCGGATGCCCCCCAAGCCCCCCCCCCACCCCCTTGGACGCCCCCGGCGAGGGAGGGAGGAGGCGGCCTGGCCCCCTGGGAGGACGGCTCCGACGCGCTCCTGCGGATGCTCTGCTTCCGGGGCATCCCGGACGGCTCGGGCCTGCGGCCGCAGGCGTGGAAGGTGTTGCTGGGGTACCTGCCGATGGCCAGGCTCCGGGCGGCCCCGTCCGCCCTCCGCGTGCCTCCCCGCCTTCCCCCCCCCCCGCCCTCCCCGAATCTGCGAGGATCGGAGTCGTTTCCATGCATCCGGTGTTCCTCGGGTTCGGCCTCCAGGGCCCGCGCTCGGGCCCCAGGGCCATCAGAAATGGATCCGGGGCGACAGGCCACGCTCAGGGAAGGGGCCCCAGACATGCGACGTCTTGGTTTTTCAATGCAGGGCCCCCAGAAGTCCCGACCCTCTTCCCTGGGCCGGTTGTCTTGCTAACCCCGAGTCGTTGCTTGACGGCCCCGGGGCCCAGGGAGGGCCCCTGGATGCCGAAAACGGCCAGGAGGGCCCCTGGATGCCGAAAACGGCCACAGACTTCCCGTCGTGTCTTTGCTTACGACGCGAGCATGTTTGGGTCTGGAGTTATGGGGCACTTGCCCGGATCCGTCCTCCCTCCCTCCTTTTTCGCCCCTGGGTGCCCAGTCGCCCGCGCCAGCGCTCGGCCACCCCGGGCGCGCGACTCGCGACGTCTGGTGGAGCGCGGCGGCGGGTCCGGCCTGTGGAAGGAGGAGGAGGAGGAGGAGGAGGAAGGAGGAGGAGGAGGAGGAAGGAGGAGGAGGAGGAGGAAGGAGGAGGAAGGAGGAGGAGGAGGAGGAGGAGGCGGAGCAGGAGCAGGAGCAGGAGCAGGAGCAGGAGCAGAAGGAGGAGGAGGAGGCAGACGGCGGTGGGCCCTGGCGTTGGCTCTGCGCGCGGTTCTTCGGAGGGTTTCTGGCCTCGGGGCGCTTTCCAGCAGCTGCGCCTCGCCGAAGGCCTTCCTGGGGTCTGGACCTCTACAGGTCAAGGGTTGCGAAGGGCACCCCGTCGGAGCTCTGAGGTTCAAGGCTCTCGGAAGTGTTTGCCGGTCCTGGGCGGCGTCCTGGCCTCGGGGTGCCTTCCAGCGGCTGCGCCCCGCCGCAGGCCTTCGGAGGTGCCCGGATCGTTCCGAACAGCCGCCGACGGCCCGAGGTCTGCCCCGAAAGCCACCAGGGGGGATATGCGTCGATCCCCGATCGCCCTCTCATCGCCGACAGGGGCCGGAGAGCCCAGCCCGCCCCGGAGCGTCCGGCTTCGCACATCGGAGGCCCGGCGCCGAGCTGTCGGCGGGGGCATCCAACGCATTCGAGGTCGATGTCTCCCCTCCCCCCGGGTCTCCCCTCTGGCTTTCGGGTCAGAACTCGGGTCTCCAGCGGCCGCTCGGGACGATCTGGGCACCCCCGGGGCGCTCTCGGCCCTCTCGGCGAGGCGCAGCCGCTGGAACGCCTGCGGAGGCTGGAAGAGCGCCTGGAGTCAACGAAAACTCCCGAAAACCTCGGCACGTCGCGGAAGAGGAGGAGGAGGAGGAGGAGGAGGAGGAGGAGGAGGAGGAAGACGGAGGACGGAGGGCGGAGGCGGAGGAGGAGGAGGAGGAGGAGGAAGGAGGAGGAGGAAGACGGAGGACGCAAGGAGGAGGAGGAGGAGGAGGAGGAAGACGGAGGACGGAAGACGGAAGACGGAGGACGGAACCGGTCCCCCCAAAGTGATTCTCGTCGTACAACTCGGGTATCCCAGGCACGATGTCGGCGAGGCGCAGCCGCTTGAGGGCATCTGGAGGCTGGAACACCGCAGGGAATCAACGAATACGCTTGAAAACCTCGAGACCTCGAGGCGGAGAAGGAGGAGGAGGAGGAAGAGAAGGAGGAGACGGAGGAGGAAGAGGAGGAGCAGGAGGAACAGGGGGAAGAGGCGGAGGAGGAGGAGGAGGAGGAGGAGAAGGAGGAAGAGGAGGAGCAGGAGGAACAGGGAGAGCACGAGGAGGAACAGGAGGAACAGGAGGAATAGGAGGAACACGAGGAACGGGAGGAACAGGAGGAACGGGAGGCACAGGAGGAACAGGAGGAACAGGAGGAACAGGAGGAGGAGGAGGAGAAGAACAGGTGGGAGGAGGAAAAGGAGGAGGAGGAGGAGGACGGAGGACGGAACATGTCCGCCCCAGTGATTCTCGTCTTTTAGGCTTTCGGGTCATAGCTCGGGTCTCCAGCGGCCTCTCGGGACGGTGCGGGCACCCCCGTAGCGCTCTCGGCGAGGCGCAGCCGCTCGAGGGTATCCCGAGGCCAGAAATGTGCAGAGAGCCGACTAGATCGACGTAAATCCTCCAACATCGAGCCTCGAAACGGCGGCCACCCCCTGAGCCCGTCCCCTTGTCGTGCCTAAGCGCTCCCCCTCGCAGGCACTCCGAGTGGAGCGCGATCCAGGGCGAGAAGCGCGCGCTGTACGCCAGCTACCGGAGCGAGCTGCGCGCGGAGGACGAGGGCAGCAAGGACAACGGGGGGGGGGGGCCTGGCCAGACAGGGCAGCCCTGCACAGAAGTCTCGGGGGCGCACATTGGAAGGGACCTCTGAAGCTTCCGTGCGTCCTGCGCAGTGCCCATGGGAGCAAGGACGCGGTTGAGCACCGGAGGGCGTGCCGGCAGCCACGGAGCCCGGGCATGCAGAAGCAGGGCGCGGGCGACGCTCCGAAGGCCAGGGGGTTCGAGGTTCGAGGTTTTCGGGGGAGAGATAGGCTCGGGGGTGGAAATGACAGAAGATTTCCTGGACTTCTGCACGTCGACGCGAGCAGGCGCGACGCTTCCTCTGCGCACCAGGCCTGCATAGCGACTGGCACTTGATGTTTTCCCCCGCGCCCTATATGGGCCCGCCCTCGTGCGAGCGGGGTGACTTGACTTGACTTGATAGGCTCGGGGGGGGGGGCCGAGGCTCGAGGTGTTCGGGCGGTGCCGCGGGTCCTCGGCGAGCCTCCCCGCCTCGGCGCGCTCTCTCCGGCAGCCGCGCCTCGCCGAGGGGCGCTTCCCCGAGGGGGGGGGGGGCCCGGGGAACGTCCCGAGCGGCCCCCTTGCGATCCGGGCGGTGGCCCGAAGGCCAGTGGGGCCGTGGACCCATCCCCGCTTTTTCTCGCTATCGGGGGCGGACCGAGCCCCCACCCCAGACCCCCTCGAGTCATGAAAAAATCACGACGGGGGGGTGTTCCTTCTTTTTGGCCCTTGGGGGCCCTGTACCGGCCCTCGGGACCGTCAAAAAACGACTCAGGACGAAAAAACGGTCCCGGGGAATGGGTCGAGACCTCGGGGGGTCGACGTCATGAAAAAATCATGACGTCGGGGGTCTGGGACCCTGGCACGTCGATTCGTGAATTGCCCGTCTCCGGTGCTCGAGAGGGCGCCGCGGCCGTCATCTTCCAGGCTGGCGCCCGCCAGGTTTGGGCCCGAGGTCGTTTTCACTGCACCCCGTTTGATTCGAGGAGGTTCGGTCCATCCCCGCAGCAAGAGATCCTGACCGTGGTCCAGATGTGAGCCGGGCCAGACTCAAGGCCAGACCCACTGCCAGGGCGGGACTCGCCTTCGAGGGGCCGAGAAGATGCGTCTGTCGTTCGGCAGAGGGCGGCAGAAGCAAAGCTGGGGCGGCCCCGCTGGTGGAACTTGGCTGAAGCGAAACTTCACCCCCCAAGGGATGTCAACAACTCGTATTGGATGCAGGGCTTCTGGAGCGGTTCACAGTGGTGCAGGTGGCGATCGGAAACATCGATGTAGTGGCAGATTTGGGGGGCAGGGGCCCCAAGGGCCCCGCAGAGACAGCTGGGGCTGCCAGCGTGCCAGTGCCTCCACCCAGGGGCAATGACAGGGGGTGGACTGGCCCAGGGGTAGATCAACGAAGGGGGGACACAGTGGGGGCCCATGCCAAGAAATACCCTGCTTGCCTCCAGGGTGCCCCTGGGTTTCTTGGCCCGGGCTTCTGGGGTTTCGATGACCTTGCCAAGGCAAGCGTGACGCTCCTGGGCGCCCTGGGGTCTCAGGGTTGGGTTTCCTGTGGAAGGCTTCTTGTGGTCGGGCCCCCCTACTCAAGGGCGCCCTCGAGGGCGCGAAGTTACTCGCTCTTCGCGGTTCGGCTCCGATACCTCCTCATCCTCCTCATCTCCCTTGGGAGGCGGCGCGAGAGCGCGAAGTTATTCGCATTTCGCGCTTCGCGCAGCGCGAAGCGCGAAGTTGGGTTGAGATTTGCACTGGAGAGCGGATCCTGGTGCATACGGGATGCTGGTGTATACACTTTTCGCTGCTTCCCCGGGACATCGGGGAAAAAAGTGTACACCACACCACCCCAGCGTCGTCCCCGACCCTCAAGAAGTCCTGGGATTGAAAATCAGCCCGCCACTGGTAATGTATGTATGCGTTCCATTTTCCTACCTGACACCGCGGGGATCGGTCGAACTTGAACGATCGGCCGCTCAGGGAACGCCGAATCGTTCAAGGATGGGCCGATTCTTGGCCACAGGCGGCGTTCGACTTTGAACGCCCGCGCCGGGGTCGCCGCCGGTCGACACGACGCGAACATGCCGTGCCGGCGGTGCATCGCCGATTCCAAGCCAACGCTTCGCCCCCTGAGCCGATCCCCCTCTGCCGCGCCCCCTCCTCCACGGCGGCGGGGTCGGGGGGTGAGATGTCGCCCACCTGCGAAGAAACAACAACAACAACAACAACAACAACAACAACAACAACAACAACAACAACAACAATCACTTTACCCGAACGCTCAGTGTTCTCACCAGTGCCAGGGTTTTCATGCGACGCCAGCCAATACCCCCACTTTGTGGGGGGGCAGTGCAAGCTCTACAAAATATCCACACGACTCTTCGCCACCACCCACACCCAGCTTCCCGCCCTATGACGTTCGGACACTTCACTTCGTGGCCTGCGGACGACCGTGGCTACTACACTGGCGTGGAGTACACACCCACAGAAGTTGTTAAGCCTACGTTCGTACACCCACAGAAGTTGTTAAGCCTTGTTAACCCACAGAAGTTGTTAAGCCTTCCACAGAACATCTGTTGCATATGATGCATATGGTACATGATACACATGATACACATGATACGTACTCACAAGATAGTTGATCACATCTTTAGGGCAAATTCCTGAGGGATGTGGGAATACACAAGAGAGAGAGGATATGGTTGTCCCGATGGTTGTCTCGATGGTTGTCCCGATGGTTGTCCTGATGGTTGTGGTTGTCCCGATCGTTGTCCCGATGATTGTCCCGATGGTTGTCCTGATGGTTGTGCTTGTCCCGATCGTTGTCCCGATGACTGTCCCGATGATTGTCCCGATGGTTGTCCCGATGGTTGTTCCGATGGTTGTCCCGATGGTTGTCCCGATGGTTGTGAGCGATGCCGGATCCTCACGCCCCCCGCCGGAGGAGGAGGAGGAGGAGGAGCAGGACAAGGAGGAAAGGAGAGAAGAGAGAGGAGGGGCGGGAACGGCGCTTGCACGCCCACCCACCGTCTTTTCCCCGCCGCGGCTTTAAAGAGACGAGTTCGTGTGCTCGTCATCTTCTGGGGGACGTTTTATTCTCGGCGGCCGAGGGCGCAACCTATGGCGCAACCGCAAGGGATTGTGGCCCCTGGCAGGCGCGCGAACCCCGTTGCAAGAGCGTGCGAAAGTAGCTCGCGCGAGCTCATGTAACATAAATGTTGGAAAACCATTGGTTTTTTTAGGATTCGGACAGCGCGCGCGGGTAGAAATTTTGAAAAGTCGTGCAGGTGTTTTTCGAGGACCTACGGTGCGATTCGTGTGATTTTATGATGCGCGGTGCTAAAATTCTTAAGAACCCAATGGTTTTTGGAGATTTCGGCGTGCGCGCGCGAAGAAAAAACGAATGTGTCCCGCATGGTATTATTTGACAGGGATGATGGCCCTGGCAGGTGCGCAACCGTTGTCGCAGAAGTTCGAAAAAGTTGCTCGCAAAAGCCCGTTTGACAGAAATGTTTAAAAAGTGTTGGGTTTCCTACGAATCCGCAAGAGCGCGCGGGATGAGATTTTGACATTTTTTGTTGAAAAACCATTGGTTTTTTGATGTTTTTATGTTAAAATCGCTGCGAACACTAAGCTTTTGGAAGGATTTCGTCTTGCGCGCGCGAATGTCCACTTTACCTTATTTTTTGCAAGGGATTCTTGAAATTTGATTATATTAGAACAAGAAATGTCATTTTATAGTGTTTTTTGCAAGGGAAAACGGATTACAACAAAACAACCGGATCTGGATCACATCGTTTTACCTGAGGCTTCCTCACGAAAATGATGAAAACGTGGCTGCGGCCTAGGCGCGGCGGGGGGGGCGTGCACCAGGGGGCCCAACAATAATTATTCTTTAGAAGTAATAATATTCAACAACAACAACAACAACAACAATACCAATACCAATACCAATACCAATACCAATACCAATACCAATACCAATACCAATACCAATACCAACCACAACCAAAACAAAACCACAACCACAACAACAGCAACAACCACAACAACAGCAACAGCAACAACAGCAACAGCAACAGCAACAGCAACAGCGGCAGCAGCAGCAACAACAGCAACAAGAACAAGAACAAGAACAAAACAACAACAACAACAACAACAACAACAACAATCACTTTACCCGAACGCTCAGTGTTCTCACCAGTGCCAGGGTTTTCATGCGACGCCAGCCAATACCCCCACTTTGTGGGGGGGCAGTGCAAGCTCTACCAAATATCCACACGACTCTTTCGCCACCACCCACACCCAGCTTCCCGCCCTATGACGTTCGGACACTTCACTTCGTGGCCTGCGGACGACCGTGGCTACTACACTGGCGTGGAGTACACACCCACAGAAGTTGTTAGGACAGCGCGCGCGGGTGGAAATTTTGAAAAGTCGTGCAGGTGTTTTTCGAGGACCTACGGTGCGATTCGTGTGATTTTATGATGCGCGGTGCTAAAATTCTTAAAAACCCAATGGTTTTTGGAGATTTCGGCGTGCGCGCGCGAAGAAAAAACGAATGTGTCCCGCATGGTATTATTTGACAGGGATGATGGCCCTGGCAGGTGCGCAACCGTTGTCGCAGAAGTTCGAAAAAGTTGCTCGCAAAAGCCCGTTTGACAGAAATGTTGAAAAAGTGTTGGGTTTCCTACGAATCCGCAAGAGCGCGCGGGATGAGATTTTGACAATTTTTTGTTGAAAAACCATTGGTTTTTTGATGTTGTTTATGTTAAAATCGTTGCGAACACTAAGGTTTTGGAAGGATTTCGTCTTGCGCGCGCGAATGTCCACTTTACCTTATTTTTTGCAAGGGATTCTTGAAATTTGATTATATTAGAACAAGAAATGTCATTCTATAGTGTTTTTTGCAAGGGAAAACGGATTACAACAAAACAACCGGATCTGGATCACATAGTTTTACCTGAGGCTTCCTCACGAAAATGATGAAAATGTAGCTGCGGCCTAGGCGGCGCAGGGGGGGCGTGCACCAGGGGGCCCAACAATAATTATTCTTTAGAATAAATAATGTTCAACAACGAAACAACGAAACAACGAAACAATCAAACAACCGAAAACAACAACCAATAATCTAACACGGCGGCCGGGGGGTCGGACGATGGAATGGAGGCGGCTTCGGCGACCCCGCTGCATCCGTTCAGTCGAGCCGCCCGCCTCCCCCGCAGCGGGCGGGCCGAGCGAGGCCGACAAAGAGTGCCCCCAGGGGGGCGCCGAGCCCTCCGTCTCCTCATCCTCCTCCTCCTCCTCTTCCTTCCTCCTCCTCCTCCGTCCTCCGCTCCTCCTCCTTCTCCTCCTCATCCTCTCCTCCTCCGCCGGCTCCTGCCCCTCCTCCTCTTCCTCCTCCTCCCCTCTTCCGCCTCCTCCTCCTCCTCCTGCTCCTCCTCTTACTCCGCCTCCTGCTGCTCCTCAGCCTCCGCCTCCTCCTCCTCCTCCTCCTGCCTCCTCCGCCGCCTCCTCCTCCGCCTCCTGATCCGCGCCCTCCGCTCTCCCGCCTTCTCGCCTCCGCTCCTTTCTCCCCCTCCTCCGGCTGCCTTCTTCTCCTCCTCCTCCTCCTCCCCTCCGCCTCCACCTCTCCGCCTCCTCCTCCTTCCCTCCGTCGTCCTCCTCCTCCTCCTCCTCCTCCATCCGCTCCTCCTCCGTCTCTCCCCTCCTCCTCCTCCTCCGGCCTCCTCCTCCCCCGCCTCCTCATCGTTCCTCCTTCTCCTCTCGGACTCTCAGCCTCCGCCTGCTCCTCTCCGGCGCCCCGCCTCCTCCCCATCATCATCACATCATCATCATCAGTCATCATCATCAGCATCATCATCTCCAGCTATCATCAGATTAAGCAGCATCATCATCATCCATCATCACACCAACACATCAGTCATAATCATCATCATGCATCAATCTCATCTCATCATCAGTCCTCATCATCCTCCTCATCAGCATCACCACCATCATCATCATCATCAGCATAATCATCCTCTTTATGATCATCATTCCGCCTCCTCTCTCCGTCCTCCTCCTCGTCATCATCATCATATCATCATCATCAGATCATCATCACATCAGCATCATCATCATCCCCCTCTCCCCTCATCCTCCTCCTCCTCCTCCTCCTCCTTCCCCTCCCCCTCCTTCTCATCATCCCCTCTAATTCTCTTCCTCCTTCTCCTCCTCCTCCTCCTCCTCCTGCTCCTCCTGTTCCTCTTCCCCCTCCTCCTCCTTCTCCTCCTCCTCCTCATCATGCTCTTCCTCCTCCTCCTCCTCATCCTTCTCCTCCTCCTCCTCCTCCTCCTCATCATCATCATCATCATCATCAGCAGCATCATCATCCTCATCCTCATTCTCATTCTCATCCCCTCCCCTGCATGCAATCCGCCGAGCCCGAGACCAGTGGCCGCTCTCTCTCCCTCTCCCTCTCTCTCTCTCTCTCTGGGGGACCTTGCGCGGCCAGTCGGGGGCGTCCAAGAGGGGGGTCAAGGATTTGGGAGGGATGTCATTGCCGAGGCCATGATCCCTCCCAGATCCCCTGGACCACACCTCGTCCACGCACACGCCTCGGTTCGGGCGATGGTGCGCATCTCCCCCTCTTCCTGGCTCCCCCTCTCCGGCGCACCTGAGCCAGGCCCCCCCCCCAGCTTCGGTCGGGGAACTGTGAGGCTCGAGTCTGCTGGAACTCGGGCCTGCCGCCGTTCTGGTTGACGGTTTCGGCATGGACTCTGGCAGCCCAGCTGTCGCGAGACGTCTGCAGTGGGAGCCCACGTCCAATTTCAGACCAGGTCCCGCCGTTTCCCTGACGGCCCTCGTCGGCAAATTCGCGCACCAAATATTCGAGCCTCGCGCTGCCCTGACCCAGGGCGACTCCGAGACCACGTGCTCGGGGCCAGCCGCGGCCACCGGAGGGGGGAGCGGGAGGGGCGGCCCGCAGGGCTTGTGCGTCGGGCCCCCGCACCCTGAACTTCGACGGTGTAACTTCAGGAGGGAACATACACACAGACATAATGAATCGTCGCTTCTCCAGAAAATATGGGCAAATATGGGAAGTGGGGGGGAAGACAGAAACCCAGAAAATATGGAAAAACATAGGGGAATAGTTTCATTTGTTTGTATTTATTTGCGTGTCCTGGGGCTCCTTCATAATTGTGTCACCACGCGAACCCCGGAGATCTGAACCTCTTCCCCAGGACCAGTTGTTGTCCCTGGGGGCCGACAATGGCGGCAACAACAACAACAACAACAACAACAACAACAACAACAACAACAGCAACAACAGCAAAAGCTGCCCGTCGTGATTGGCGCACCACGAGAGGAGGTGGGGGGGGACCCCGAAGCGAGGAGCTGCTGCAGGAGATCCAGAATGACGTCGACCGCACCAGGAAGGATTTCGAGTTCTTCACGAGGCCGGCGACACGCCAGGCGCTGCAGACGGTGCTTTTCATCTACGCCCGGCTGAACCCTGGAGTCCGGTACGTTCAGGGCATGAACGAAGTCGCCGCAGTCCTCCTATACGTGCTGTCCGGGGACGCGGAGACCACAGGGAAGGGGAGAGGCGTGCTTTACGTAGTTCTCACGTAATGTTGTTGCGCGGCCCTCGGAGAGGGGCCATTTGAGGGAACGGCTGGGGAGAGAGATCAAAGCAATATAAATATATATATACAGACACACACTTGGGGCGATCGCGGCCTCGCGCGCAGCGACGAGGCGGAGCAGGTCGAGCCAGCAGCCGGGAACTAACGCACACGTCAACACGCACGCACGCACGCACGCACGCACGCACGCACCCACGCACACACACACACACACCACACGTATATGGGAATATATATATATATACATACACATACACATACACATACACATACACATACATATACAGATACCTATACATATGCATATGCATATGCATATGCATATGCATATACATATATGTGGATTACAATATATGTACATACACATATATGTACATATAGTCCTCTTCCTGCATGTTTATAAGCCTGGGCGGGGGGGACCCCCCCCGCCCCAAAATCGGACTCCTGGGATCTGGGGCTTTGGGGCCCTCCGGACGGGCCTCGAAGTGGCCCCCCGGGCCTCGCAGGGCGTAGGGGGGTCATCGGAGACGTCCCAGAGACCCCCAAGACAGCACAAGAGCGCTCCAAGAGTGACCGACGTGACTTCAAGATGGCCCAAGAGGCCTCCAGGACGGCCCCAGAGAGGCCTCCAAGAGCACTACCAAGAAGGCCCCAAGAGGCACAAATCATTTTTTCTGTTGGTTTTTGGTGAATTTGGGGGTTCTCCTCTTTGCGGCTTCCCGACGCTTCAAGACGGCGGTCTTCTGGGCGTCCGAAGCCGCTTGGGAGGCTCCAAAATCGCCCCACAACCATCCGAAAGGGCTTCCAGGCAGTCCACGAGAGCCCCAACACGGCGCAACACGGGTCCAAGATGGCCTTCAGAGAGCCCCATGGCGGCCCAAGATGGCCCCAAGACACCCTCCGAAGCACTCCAAATCGTGACACGGTCGTTCAGGGAGACCGCGATTGGAGGCAGGGTAGCCCGAGGAAGCCCCCACAGGCCCCCAGAATACGCCCAGGAGGCCTCCAGAAGGCCTTACGAAAGCTT